ATGTCTCCCTGAATTTTATGGTTACTTGAGCAAATTAAATTCAACTCAAGGAGGGTATTGTGGGAACTCCAGCTTGTACTGGTTGGCCAGAACACAGGCTGCAGTTGGTATCAGGGAAGCAGCTCACCTGTGGGGTCTGGCACTGACACTTTTGTCAGGACAGACTTGGATCAGAGGACATGGTAAGAGAACCAAATGTGAATATGATGTACCTGATGGCCCACTCATGTTCCCCATTTTTTTTCCTCTCTCTCTTTCTTTCTTTCTTTGTGCTGGTCCGGGAGCTTAAACTCAGGACCTGAGCACTGTCCCAGGCTTCTTTTGCTTAAGGCTAGCACTCAATCACTTGAGCCACAGTTCTGTTTCCTGTTTTTTTGGTAGTTTAGTGGAGATGAGAATCTCACAGACATTCCTGCCCAGGCTAGCTTTGACCCTCAACTCTTAAACCTCAACCTCCTGAGTAGCTAGGATTACATGAGACACTGGTGCCCAGCATGTTCACCATTTCCTATAAGTGCTTTTGTTGCTTTTCATCATAAAGGTGATTACACTCTTACCAAAGTGTTAGTGTTGATGTTCCAGCTTGTTTGTCAAAGCTCTAGAGGCCTGCACCTCACCAGCCTGCATCTGTTGCCTTTGGCCTGCTGCTGGTCATTTCTGCTCATTTCTACTCCCTGCCCTTAATTACTTGTTCTATTCTTTCTTTGTATTCAGCATTTTAAAAAATTCCACATAATATATGATAAGTATCTTTTGTGCCTACCTTATTTCATACAAGATAACGTCCTCCAGTTCTATCCATGTTGTCACAAATAATAATGTCCTTTTAAGCCGTGGGGCACTTCATTGTAATATGCCCCATTTTCCTTACTATCTTTCCCCTTATGGATCCTTTGTACTTTTCATATCTTAGCCACGTGAACCATGCTGCAGTGAACATGGCATACAGATATCTCTTCAGCATATTGATTTCATTGCTTTGATACAGAAGTGAGGATGCTGTCTTTGCTCTATTTTTATCTTCTAGAAAAGCTTTATAGTGTTTTCTATAGCAGATACACCATTTTTCACTTTTCCACCAGTAGTGTACAAAAGTTCTCTTTTCCTGTATACTCTTTTTTTTTTATTGTGAAAATATCCTACAGAGGAGTTACAATTACATGGGCAAGATAATGAGTACATTTCTCATCAAGCATTGTTGCTTCCTCCTTTGTTTCCACTTCGTATCCCTTCCCATCTCCCCCCACCCCCCACCCCGGCCCCCTCTGTATACTCTTGTCAGGATTTGTTGTCATCTCTTATCTTTTTGACCAGAACTGTCTCTAAGGTAATATCCAAGTTGTGATTTGCATCTCCTTGATAATAAGTGATGTTGATCAGCTTTTCATATATCTATTGGTTATCTTAATGTGTTCTTTGGGGAAGCATCTGTTCATTTTCTTTGTCATTTTTTTTGGGGGGGAGGGTTGGTTGTGGGGCTTGAACTCTGGGTCTGGATGCTGCCCCTCAGCTCTTCGGCTCAAGGCCAGCACTCTACTGCTTGAACCACAGCACCACTTCTCATTTTCTAGTGGTTTATTGGAGATAAGCGTCTCACGGACTTTCCTGCCCGGGCTGGCTTTGAACCGCAATCCTCAGATCTCAGCCTCCTGAGTAGCTAGGATTACAGGCGTGAGCCACCAGCGCCTAGCTCTTTGTCATTTTTTAAACTGGGTTGTTTAACTGATTATTTGTGTTCCTATGAGTTTGCACATAAGCCTCATCAAATATATAGCTTACAGACTTCTTTTCTTCTAGCCATAGGCTTCCTTCTCTTTTTACTGATTGTCCCTTTGCTGTGTAGGAGCTTCTTAGTTGAACTAGCCCTACTTATTTATTAAATTGCCTGAGCTTTTGGTATGATACCTCAAGAAATATGTGGGATTTCAGCTCTAGAGAGAAGCTATTCCAAGAATAGGAGACAGATAATCAGGACCAGTTTGCTGGTTGAACACAAAGAAACACTAGTAAAACAGTTAATAGAAATACAGGTTTTAGAACAGGGCTGGGAGGGAGGTTACCAGGAATTCAGTGTGCTATAGAAGACACATTCACTGAGTCAAGGTGGGCAATGTGCTAATTGTAGACAGTGCATTCTGGACTGTTTTGCTATCAAGAAGAAAGAAAAATCATGAATGAAATGGATGTGGAGGATATCACTGCAGACCCCCACCACAAGTGAAAAAAATACAGTGAAACACTGCAAGCAGCTCTAAGACACATCATTCGGCTACTTGGATGCACAGGGCCAAGTCCCATGAAGCACAGATGACATAACCCCATTTCATTGCTATTTCATGAAAGTAAATTCAGATTTCCAAACAAAATATCAATAAATTGAATCTAGCAATAAGTAAAAGTAATGGTAGTGGCCCCTCTTGAGTGAAGGCGTTCAGGATAACTTTAAAATGTCACGATATGCAACAAAAACCTTTAATTTTCTCACTGTAGCCAAAATATGTAATCAACCCAGATGCCCCTCAGTGGATGAATGGATCAAGAAAATGTGGTATATATACACAGTGAAATTCTACTCATCCATCAGAAAGAATAACACTGTATTATCTTTAAGGAAATGGAAAGACTTGGAAAACATTCTATTAAGCGAAGTAAGCCAGACCCAGAGAAACATATGTTACATGGCTTCCCTTGTCTGTAGTAACCAGAATGTGCCTATAAATCTACAAGTAAACACACTGGATTGTAAAGGACAAAAATACACGGACATGATAAACTATACAGGTCTCTAGGCACTTACACATAGTGAGCCCAAAGGAGAGGGGCACACAGGCACAACAGCTAGCTGCATCTGACCATATGAAATACTTATCAAAATGCCAGGAAATGGAAAAAGAGCACTTTTGTTTTCTTTCTTTGTTGCAGTTTTTGTTTTCATTTCCTTTTGTCTTGATTGTTTATCTGTCTTTGGGAGGGTCAGGGGAGGCACAGAAATGGTGGGACAACGTGGTAAACAAATGTAGTAGTGATACTGACGAGACACTGTGTTGAGATGAACTACACTGTTTGTGATGGGGGACAGGAGGGAAAAACTGGGAAAGAGCAAGGAAAGGGGCGACATTGTTCAAAAAGAAATGAGCTCTGACCTATGTAACCAAAACCCCTTTATACATCACCTTTATAATAACAAATAATTTTTAATGTTTGATTAACTATTAATCCTGGATAATCCTGGTTCGTGATACTTACCTTAAAATAATGATTAAACTTCTCTTAGTAAGTAAAACCTTGCTTAGGAAGGGGATAAAACATCTGTAACTCCTTCCTAGTTCATTTGGTTTCATAAGCTATTTTAGCACATTTTAATGAGCTTGGGCAGTATGATCAAAGTGTAGGTGCCCCAAAGGGACTTGCTTTTCTTGTGCTTAACTTGCTACTGGTCACTTGGACATTGGCCATGGTGATACCTGTGTGGGGTTACCACAGCCAGCCAGGCTCACGCTCAGAACACCAGTGATTATCCTCATCAGGAAGGACTTGGCAAGGAGAAGAAACGCTTCATGTTACCATGACATTCTTAATTTGTAACATTAGCAGCCATCAGCCTTTTGGGTTATATATGCATTTTATTTTGAAATCAAATTTTTAAACTAAGGTTTTTAGCTGGGTACCTGTGTTTCACACCTAAAATCCTAGCTACTTAGTTTTGGTTTTTTTGGGGGGGTCCGGTTGTGGGTCCTGAACTCTAGACCTGAGCACTTATCCCTCAGCTCTTCAGCTCAAGGCTAGCGCTCTACGACTTGAGCCACTTCTGGCTTTTTTCTTTTTGTTTATGTGGTGCTGAGGAATCGAACCCAGGGACTCAGGCATGCAAGGCAAGCGCTCTACCAATGAGCCACCTTCCCAGCCCAATCCTAGCTACTTAGGAGGCTGGAAGCCAGCCCCAGCAGGAATGTCCATGAGACTCTCATCTCCAAGCAGCAAAAAGCCCAAAGTAGAGATGTGGCTCAAGTGGTAAAGCACTAGTCTTGAGCAAAAAAAGTTATGGGACAGTTCCATGGCCCTGAGTTCATGCCTCAGTGCTCACTCGCTTGCTCTTTTTTTCTCTCTCTCTCTCCCTTCCTCTCTTTCTCTCCCCCCTCCCTCCCCCCTCCCTCGCCCCTCCTTTTCTCTCTCTCTTTCACACACACACACAAATATACACAAATGAGGATTTTAGTCCTACATCAATATAGTTGCATTAGCAGAAACACCGCTTACTCATATTTAAAATGATGCCTTGTATGTTCTCCCTCTCCCTTTGCTTTAAAGAAAGTTTTCTAGATGGGTGCCGGTGGCTCATGCCTGTAATCCTAGCTACTCGGGAGACTGAGATCTGAGGATCGCAGTTCAAAGTCAGCCAGGGCAGGAAAAGTCCTTGAGACTCTTATCTCTAATAAACCACTCAGAAAACCAGAAGTGGCGCCAGGCTCAAGTGGTAGAGCGCTAGCCTTGAGCTAGAGCTGAGGGACAGCACCCAGGCCCAGAGTTCAAGCCCTGCAACCGACCAAAGGAAAAAAAAAAGCTTTCTGGAGGAGTAAACCCAGCAGTAAATAATCTTGCCAAGTAGCCTGTCCATCTCCCCCCAAGCCACAGTTCTGCTTCAGGCCAGTGGGCCTTTCTTTCTGGAGCCTAGACTTACAGGACCAGACCACTGAGTGACAGGTCTGTGTGCAAACAGGCCTGAGCAAACATCTACAGCTCATGGGGGTAGAGGGTGAACAAATGGGCTCTCTGATGGGACTCCGCGCATAACTCCCTTCAGTGGAGCTTGCTTGCAGGGCCTCTTGAAATCAACCGAACTGATGAGATCTGGTATGATGTCCAATGCTAAATAAGCAAGCATCTTTTCTGAGGAGTTAGCTTTGCAGTATTGAGCCTCCTTCAGGCACTTCCTGTATACAGTTGATTCTGTTAGAACTCTGTGTGATTGTTTTGGTTTCTGTGTGTGTTTCTCTTTGCAGCTAGATTATATTAGTCCCAGAGCTGTACAGCTTGGGTCCCTCTTCATCCGTGGCCTCACCACCCTGGTGCTGGTCAACAGTGCGTGCGGCTTTCCCTGGACCATGAGTGAGTTCATGCCTTGGAACGTGTTTGATGGCAAGCTTTTTCATCTGAAGTACTTACAATCTGAAAAGGGATATGCTGTGGAGGTTCTTTTGGAACAAAATGTAAGTTGTTCTTTGTTTTGTTTTTTGTTTTATGTTCATTAAACAACAGTAAGTTTGGAACCAGTAGCTCTAGTCATTAGGAAGATGAGGGGTTGCCTATGCTAATGGTTCCAGGGCTTTAGAAAAACAAACCTACTCCCTAGAAATAGCTCGTTATTCTAGGCTTCAAAACTTCCTAGAACTAACATGCTGACTGCACTTATATTTCTACAACTTCTTTCCTAATGGGTTCAATTGTTCCAAATACCAGAAACATGCAACTGGTAGCATCAGCATCCGTATCAGTATCAGCTCATAGCCTCCTAGAATGTGTAGCATGTGTAGAGGGGAAAACTGTGCTCCCTCAGAGGAGCCTTCTGGACACCCAGTGAGACCAGACACTTCTGAAGGCCATCCGTGTCCAAGGGGACATTGGCTGCAACTCCAGTTTTCTCAGTACAGTTGCTACATTATTCCTGGAAGATTTCCAAATAAGGCCTTATGCCAAGCTCATTTGGAATGTTTTATTACCCACAGGGTTGCAAAGGCAGTATGATCATGAGAGCCTGCTGGATTGTTAGATAAAACACTACAGGCTTTCACACCAAAGGGAAAACATTTGATGGTGTGTTGCCATCACCATTTCTCACCAAAACTTAAGGACTGTAAGTGCTGAGAGCTTAGAAGTAACCTGTCCTGCACAGGCAGCAAAAGCCCTTGTATGCTTTAGAAGACCTCACAAACAAGAAGGGAACCTGTCCTTCAGAGGTGGCAGTGGGAGTGGAGCTGCGAGGTCACGCCATCCGTCACTTCTTTTCTGTGTACCTCAAGGTATTTCGGGCCAGCATCATAACCTGGGTGCTGTGTTTCTGAGGCACTCATAAGGGAAGCCATCTCCTAAGGCACTGTGGCCACACTGAAGGACTGCAGCCTTCCTCTCTAGCATAGAGTGGACAGCCACCCTGGTTGGGTGTCGTTGGGGAATGGTCCCCCTGTGGGCTGTGTCCCGCTGCCCCATGTCGGACCCTGCTGACTGTCATAGAATGTGCAGCGACTCTCACTTGCATCTGATCTATCTCCAGAGATCTTGGCTCACCAGATTCCAAAACCTGAAGGCAGTGGTCTGCAAAGCTTGTGGAAGGGAGAACCGACGCATTGTGGGCAAGTCACACTGGACCTCTCACCACACAGGTAGGCAAGGCTCAGGCCCTCTACCTGTCACAGATTCTTCTAGGGCCCATCTTGGGTCAAGGGTGGACCCGGTGGCTTCCTGTGTCTTATTAAAAGAAAAAGTTCCTCGTGGGAGGCAGAGATAGGAGGATTTCAGCTCAAGCCCAGCCAAGGCAAAAAGCTGAGCCTGGAATCTGTGGTTGATACCTGTAATCCCAGCTCCTTGAGAGGCTGAGACTGTTGGGATTGCAGTTCAAAGCCTTGGACTGGAAAGGACAGTCTAGGCGTGTTATTGTAGCTGTTGAGAGGCCTAACATAGATGAGTTACACCCAGGCATGTATCTGAGTAGGACGTGAGACCCTTCCTCAAAAATTAACAGTAGAAAATAGGGCAAGAGATGTGATTAGAGTGCCTGCCTAGCAAACACAAGAACCAGAGTTCAAATCCCAATCCAGGGTTGAGAGAAGCTGGGCCCTGTGGCGCATGCCTCTGTGGACCCTGCAGGCAGAGAGGAGGTTTGTGGTCGAGGGCAGACAGGCAAAAAGTGAAAGGCCCTATCCAAAAACAATAGGATAGCAGAGCACTCCCCTCAACACGGTACCACAGATAAATGAATGAACAGCAGCCAGAGCTTTACACCACAGGCTGGCTGCACACTTACTGTGTGGCCTGTTTGGAGCTCTTCACCTGTTTACATTTTCCATTATTCATACTACTTTTATGTGCACTGTTCACTGACAATAGAGAATTCTAAATAACATACTCAATTATAGATCAAAATGTAATTGAACTTTAGATAAACTTTTTTCCTCAAACCCTTTCATCACTCCCCTCTTTACCAGCAGTGATCAGGGTCTGTCAGGTAGTATCTTGATAGCATTTCAAAGTGGTAGATTTAAAAAAAATTTGAAGCCAGGTGCTGGTGGTTCAGGCCTGTAATCCTAGCTGCTTAGGAGGCTGAGATCTAAGGATCATGGTTCAAATTCAACTTGGCCTGGAAGGTCTGTGAGACTGGTCTCCAGCTAACCCCCAGAAAAACCAGAAGTAGTACTGTAGTTCCAGGTGGTAGCGCACTAGCCTGGAGCAAAAAGAGCTCAGGAACAGCACCTACGCCCTGAGTTCAAGCCCCAGGACTGACATAAAAAAAATTGATAGAAATGAAAAAGTATCTCATTGATAGTCTCATGGTGTACATCTTACTAGGATTTCTTTTGTTAATGAGCCTTGTTTTATGGTTCTGGGGCCTGAACTCAGGGTGTCACACGGCCACGCTGGCAGTCTACTACTTGAGCCCCTCCGCTATCTTTGCTCTGTTTTTGAGATAGCGTCGCTTTTTGCCCAGGCCAGCCTGGACCACAGTCCTCCGCCTTATGCTTCTTGTCATGACTGAATTTGCACCATTGTTGGCCTGTTCTTTTCCATGTATGAGGTCTTGTGAATCTTCTTGCTCCGGCTAGCCTCAGGTGTATGCTACCTGATCTCTGCCACCAATGCCAAGCTGCTAAAGAGGTTTTAAATTTTACTTTTCTGTTTCCTCCTTTGTTTGATATCTATACCCTTTTTTGCTTTAATTATTTCTGAGATTACTTATGCTCTGGCCAGGTTAAACCATAGTCCATCTGTGCCCAGCTGCTTGTTGAGAAGGGGTCTCACTTATGTTTTGCCTGTGCTGATAATGAACCACAATCTTTCTGATTTCAGAATTACAGGTGTGAGCCACTGTGCCAGCCTGTAGTACCTCATTATTTTTTGTGATGGGGCAAGAAAACTTACCTCAAACTCTGCCCTCTGAGCTGTCTTCAGGAGCTCTGTCAGCCTTGCAGATTTCATCTCAGCAGCTTTGTGTGGCATGATCAGCAATCTGCCCAGCCCTACCACACTTTGTCCATGGACTATAATGGGATGGTGGCTGGGACGTGAAGCCATTACCAAGAGGAAAGCATCTTTTCCACACTTTCCAAGTCCTTTCCTGCTACCAGCTCCAGATGGAATTTGAGGCTGTAGAGCAAAAACTTTGCAAAATTACAGTGAAAGTCTACCACATTCTTTCTTTCTTCCAGTTTCCTGTTGTCAGCAGCCAGAGACTCAGAATGTACTCCAGACTTAAGTTCCTAATTGAGATTGCTAGAGAATAGGACAAGTGGAAAGGGACTTGCTGCCTGAGGCAGCTTTGGCACATGACCATCATCATAGGAGCTTGCCTGCCCAGACTCCCCCAATCATGCTGTCTGATGCAGTAGGCCTCCCTGTGAGTTTGCTTATAGAGCCACAGCCACTCAGAGCATAAGGCCAGCAGGAACGCTGGGTACTGTGCATGTAAAGACCTCCGTGATTGGAGATGCTTCCTGTCTTTGCTGGAAATAGGTGCTTACTGGACAAGTGAGGGGCTCAGTGATGAGGATGGCGACCCAGGCATCACTGAGGAACTGACTGCTGCAGCTACAGCAGGAGAAGTCTAGTGGTGGCACCAGAGTTAGATTTATGTGCATCATCTCAGTGGGGAAAACAAATAAGTAAAACAGGGAACAGGGAAGGTTCGTTAGGCAGAGCTAGCTGGAGGAGGCTCTTTACTCAAGTGTGGAATTGGACATAGGCACTTAGGATGGTGGCTATTCCAGCGGTGGACAGAAATGGGACAGGTCAGAGGCTGTCCCAGGCTCCAGGCTCCAGGCGGCCCTTGGGAGATGCTACAGTGATCCCAGCAACCTTTTCCTCTCAGCATATCATAGCTGCGGTACTGTTTTTCTCACTAGTTGTTGGAATCTCAGGGTTTGTGTTGTGGGCATGTTAAGTGGATTCTTGTGCCCTGTATCCACAATGTCTCCTAACAGAATGGGAACTGAATTTCCAAAGAGACTCAAATATGCTACAAATTGTAGCACCCAATGGTCTCCTTCCTAGGTTCTGTGGTTAGTTTTTTTGGCCCTCTTTGTAGAACACTATCAAATTTAAGTATGTGTTAACCAGGCACCAGTGGCTCACGCCTGTCATCCTAGCTACTTAGGAGGCTGAGATCTGAGGATTGTGGTTCAAAGCCAGCCCAGGCAGGAAAGGCTTTTACCTCTAATTAACCACCAGAAAACTAGAAGTGGAGTTTTTGCTCAAAGTGATAGAGTACTAGCCATAAGCAAAAAGAGCTCAGAGACAACACCCAGGCCTTGAGTTCAAGTCCCGCAACCAGCACCAAAAAAAGTATTAATGAGTTTGTGAACAGAAGGTGCTACAGAGAAGAGCATCTACCCGGATAAGCAGAATGAAGGGACCAGAAGTGTTCTCATCTTTCTCCTCTGTTAGTAGAAGCAGCTTCTGGACCCATTGCCCCTGGAAGCAGGTCTAGGGGGACCCTGAGATCCCATTTTGAAGGCACACAATAACAAGTTCTTCTCTGGGCTCTTGTTTCTCCATACCCACCTTGAACAAATGTCAGAACCTCCCTTTTGGCTTTGAGTGCAAATTGAGCCAGTCTGGGTTCTAGCTGTCAGTCTGCATATCTAAGAGTTCATCCTGGCCCTCGTGAACACAGCTGCTGTGCTGATATGCTTGGGATAAGACATGTGCTGTGCTGCTAATGCTTGGACCATATTTCCACAGGGAGATGGGGGAGACAGGGCTCCAGTTCCCACAGGACAAGCCCCACGTACAGCCATTCCAGACAAGGACAGCCATGGAGAGACCAAGGTCTGTGGAAGAGGCCACCATACGGGTGCCAACTTCTCATTGTTTTTTTTGCTGAAAGTTTTTCCTTTGTTTCAGAAAAGGTTATGTTTATGTTTATGATTTTAGGAGGCAATTCCTCACTTAGTGAAATAGAAACAAATAATTGCCCTACTTACTGCTGGTCTATCCTTCTTTGCCACTTATTTTTTAAAATAAATCCAGCTGTTCAGAATGCAAATTTTGTAATGTAGTCAGTGAAAGGCTCTTACAAAGGTTGCATATAGAAAGTTCATCTTATGGTGACAAAAAGCACAAATAGGAGTATTCTGGTATCTTGACTTTTTATACATGCAATACATATGTCTTTTTTATTGTCTGTATTGTGCTGAATTTGGGCCTGGGCGCTGTCCCTCAGCTCTTCAGCTCAGGTGCTCTACCACTTGAGCCACAGCACCACTCCTGCCTGTTTCTGCTTATGTGGTGCTGAGGAATCGAACCCAGGGCCTCATGCATGCAAGGCAAGCACTCTACCACTGAGCCACCTTCCCAGCCCCCCACCCTTATAGATTTGAGAGCTAAACTAGATGGACTTTATATTACTTAAATTTATCCTTTCGTACGAACACTTTTTAAATTTATAATAGTTTTTATTTTTGCAATCGAAAATCCTGATAGAGATGTTGCTCAGATTGCTATCCAGCATAGCAACCCTTCTGCTTTGGGCACTTGTGGCCGTTTTTCTCTGAGAACCGCTGGTACAGGCCTTCTCTGTGACTGCTGAGCAGAAGCCTCTTGAGTCTGCAGGCTGCGCAGACATCAGAGCCCGCCACATAATTCAAAAGACACCAGAATTTCTGATGTGTGTCTGGAGATGGCATCTTCAGTTCCATCAGTGTAGATTTACATTGGCTTGTTATTTCCTTGAGCTAGCTGAACCTGTAATTGTCCCAGCTGGACCTTTTACAACAGGCCTTTCTCTGAGTCTTTCTAGCACTAGGAAGTGAATGAGGCTCCCATCACTTCATTAGCAGTAAATGACCAGCACACCTGCTCCTACAGTGTAACTTTCCTGGTATCCCAGTGTATTGAGATTGCTTTTAATTCAGGAGATGGCTGCAGTTCATTGGGCTAAACCACAGAAGAGGGAGACCAGAAGATCTGTGACAGAAGGACATAGCTTGAGAAGGCTTCCTGGGTGTGCCAAGGGTTAGTACAGCTCTGACCAGTGGGAGCAAGATCTGCTAGGTAGAGCAGTCAGGCCTGGGCTGCTTCTTTTTAAATTTTCTATTGTTATGATAAAAAGTCAGGTAGAGTGCACATATTGTTGGACAATGCCATCCTCTTCCCTTGCTCTTTCCCAGTTTTTCCCACCCATCTCCACCCACAAGTTGTATAGTTCATTTTCAACATAGCACCTATTGATAACCATGGCTGCATTTGCTCACTCTTTGTCCCTTTATTGCGCAGCCTCCCCTTAAACTCCAACAAACACAGAACAAGAAGAAAAGAAAACAGATTTTAGAGGAACTGACTTTAACTTTTCACCATTAAGTATAATGCTGACTGTAGGCTAGTTGTATAGTCTTTCTTGTATTGAAGAATGTTCCATAGATCCCTAGTTTCTCCAGAGCTTCCATCATAAACGGGTGTTGAATCTTGTCAAATACTTTTTCTGCATCTATGGAGATGATCATGTGGTTCTTGTCCTTGCTCCTGTTGATATGTTGAATTACATTAATTGAACCAGCTTTGCATCCCTGGAATGAATCCTGTTTGATCATAGTGTATATTTTTTTTCGATGAGTTGTTGAAATTTATTGGATGAATTTTATTGAGAAATTTTGCATCAATGTTCATCAGAAAATTGGGTCTTTAAGTTCTCTTTCTTTGATATGTCTCCGTCTGGTTTTGGGGTGAAGGTTATGCTGGCTTTATAGAATGAGTTTGGTAGTGAACTTTCCCTTCCCGTCTCATTGAAGAGCTTGAGGAGTATTGGAGCATGGTTTTCCCCATGTGTCATAACTAGAATAGGTCTGATATTCCTAGCAGGGGGTCACAACAGCCCAATTACTAAGTGCCTAGAACCATACGTAATAAAGGGTGTCATCATGAACTCCAAGAATTGGAAACAAGAGGCTTTTATTATGTCCTATATGCAGTTATTTCTAATTTTTGTTTTAGTTTTCTGTACCCTTTGTCTTGTATGTAAGTGTATGGGTGGAAGGGAAAGGTAATCACAGAGACAGCAAGACAAAGAATGAACTACTGCAACAATATCGCTCACTAGACACTATGTTGGAAATGAACTATACATCTTGGGGGGGAGGGGTTTAGGGAAGGGTAAGTGAAAGAAGATGAGGGAGAGAGGAATAGTGTTTAAAAAGAAATGTACTGCCAAGCTCCAGTGGCTCATGCCTGTAATTCTAGCTACTCAGGAGGTTGAGATCTGAGGATCATGATTCAAAGCCAGCCCAGACAGGAAAGTCTATGAAACTCTTATCTCCAGTAAACCACCAGAAAACTGGAAGTATGTGGCTCAAATAGTAGAGCGCTAGCCTTGAGCTGAAGAGTGCAGGGACAGTGCCCAAGCCCAGAGTTCAAGCCCCACGACCAACAAAAAAAAAAAGTACTCATTACCTTATTTATATAACTGTAACCCCCTGTTTATCATAAAGATATTTAAATAAATAAATTATAGCCATACCAAAAAAAAAACAGCAAAAAGAAAACCTCCTGTTTCCATTTCCAGGAGTTCATTTCAATAAATATTATTTTGTATGATCAGATGCACATATGCATTGTGACTTTCGATTCCTCTCCTAAGAGTGTCCTCATCTGGTCTCACTGTGCATGAATGCCTAGAGACCTGCATAATTTACCATGCTCCAGTGTCTTTTAGACCTAGCCTCCACATAGGAGAGAGACCATGCACCACTTGTCTCTCTGAGCTTGGATTACTTACCGTGATTTGTTCTGGGTCCATCCATTTTCCTGCAAATGACATAATATTCTTTTTTTTTATTTATTGTGAAAATACTGTACAGAGGGGTTACAATTACATGGGCAAGATAATGAGTACATTTCTTATCAAACGTTGTTGCCTCCTCCTTTGTTTCCCCTTCCCATCCCTTCCTCCCCCCAACCAAAGGTGTAAAGTTCATTTTCAACATAATGACTTGTACCTCTCATTGTTGCAATGGGTCCACCTGTATCCCTATTTAAGCGATTTGTTTTTTCCCTTCCCCTCCACAAATTATACCAACATCAAATACAGTGAAAGCAGGGTTACACTGTGGGGGAGGGACATACAAAGCAACAAAGAAATCATCTTATAAATGTGTTAGAAACAATCGCATGAAAGAAAAAACATTTGAATACATATCTTAGGGTTCATTTCCCTAACATCAACTTATCTGACCCTTTCTGCTTGACTCAGACATATACTAGTTATTGCAAATAAGGGAAACCATGGGGCATATGTTTCTTTGGGCCTGGCTTACTTCACTTAATATAATTTTTTCCAAGTCTTTCCATTTCCATGAATGGGGAAATATCATTCCTTCTGATGTAAGAATAGAATTTCACTATATATATATATATATATATATATATACCACATTTTCTTGATCCATTCATCTACTGAGGGGCATCGGGGTTAATATTCTTTTTTCTGGTAGCTGTATAAAATTCTGTTGTGTATAGGAACCACATTTTTTGATCCACCCAAAACAGCCCACTCAACTGGGCTGTTTCCACAACTTGGCTATTGGGAATAGTGCAGCAGTGAACACGGATGTGCAAATGTCTTTATGGCATTGCTTCTCTGTGTGAATTAGATTGAATGATACCAAGAAAAACATGGGGTCCAAAACAGCACCCTTCCTCACCCCTGACTGAGGTATCTCAGAAGATCTCCATGGCAAGTAGTTTTGGCAAAGACCTCGAGGAGGCAGAAGCAGCTGGAGATGTGTGAAGGAGACTCCAAAGCAGAGGCCAAGGCCAGCAGGAGGCCCACCCCTGGGAGCTGACTTCAAAGGATGCGAGTGGCGGCAGGAGAGAAGTGAGCCCCAGGAGTGCTGGGAGCTTTAGACCTTCCACAGAACATGACCTAGTGGAGTATAAGCAAGTGCTTGGCATGGAGCAGCCTCCGGGGCATGCAGCCTAGCCATCTGCACATCCCACTCCGGACGGCAGCAACAGGACTGCGACCTGGTGCACGTGGCCTCTAGATAAGCAGTCAGCTACACGTGGGGAAGAGCTGTGCGCGCCTCCTTGCAGAAGCCGCTCACACAGACGCCCTTCTTGTTCCTACAAAGGAGCAAGAAGGTCTTTCTCTGCCGTTTCACTGTCTGAATTAAGGTTGCCTTCGTCCAGAATTTGGGCTCAGGTGACAGCTGTCAGTATAGTGGAGAAGAGGCAAATGGAATGAGCACACTTACCCAGCTGGAGGAGAGAACTGGTCTGACACTCATCAGCTGGAGGAGAGAGCTCACCTGTCCTGAAGTAATTGGGTCTGCACACAGAATATCCTCTTGATTATTAGCAGCTGGCCCTGGAGCTCTGGCGCTACATGAGTTTTGGGGGGTGGTCCTTTTGCGTGGTGGATGAGCACATCGTAAACCATAGCACCTCATGGTGAGTTAGACAGATGAGCTGGTGCTGCCCTCAAGCCAGACCTGCTCATATCAAGAGCCGGGGTTTGCAGGATGGTGAGGGCTGCAGCGGCCTGCCTCTCTATCTTGTCTAGATGCTACCACGGTGTAGCTTTTTACAGGCAGACCTGGATCAGCACCTACCCGCAGGTCGTAGCTGTGCCCAAAATGCGTCAGATGTTAGATTAATTCTGATGTGTTTGTAAATATTTATGTGGAATTCAAGCTAGTGCCTGAGCTGTGGTTGTTTATTCAACAGCATGGGAAAAGGTCACAAGTGTTAGCGTATTTCCCTTCCTTAGTGCTATGGAAGAGAATACAGGGACAGAAGATAAAAAAAAAAAAAAAAATGGTTTCTTTAAATTCTGTTAGCAGAGAACACTGAGAGTGGCCAGAAATTTTTCCTCACTGAGATGGAAACGAAGCAGTGACTCTCCCTGGGACAGAAGGTCCCTGACAGAGAGGAGGGCCCTCTTCCCAGCGCTCCTTGAGGTAGTCCTCACACCATTGATCCTGTGTGTGTTTGTTTGTTTTTGCCAGTCCTGGGGCTTGAACTCAGGCCTAGGCACTGTTCCGGAGCTTCTTTTTGCTCCAGGCTAGCACTTGAGCCACACACCAACCACTTCTGGCTCTTTCTGTTTATGTGGTACTAAGAGCTTCATGAATGCTAGACAAACACTCGACCACTCAGCCACGTTCCCAGCCCTGTTAGGTTTCTGTGTGTCAGATAGATACAGAATTGGGCAGTGGAACTCTAGACTGGTAAGAGGACGGTGCTGGCCTCTGCGGGACCTGGGTCTGTCCCTGGGAGGGAGGCAGCCATGCAGTGGGCTCCTCAGAAGAACGAGGTATCTGACTGGGAATACAGATCATCAGGACCCAGAAGCCTAGGCCCTGGTCAGGTTTGAAGGACAGTGCTAGGCTCCAAAAAGTACAATTTCTTGGAGGTGACCCTCTCCAAATGTGGGGCTCTTCAAGAGTGCTTTTCCTACCCCTTTCTGCTTATAACAGAATTGTAGGCTGCTGAGAAGAATTGCAGACATAATGAAGGCTGGGCACCGGTGGCTCACGCCAGGAATCCCAACTACTCAGGAGGCTGAGATCTGAGGATCACAGTCCAACAACCACAAGAAACATCATAAAGGTCTTCTCTCTGCTTTAAGTCTTACCTCCTCCAGGAATTTCCTGAGCTTTGTGTCCCAGGTTCCAACCCTTTGTTACTGAACATCACTGCCCTTACAAGCACTCTGACACTCACTGAAGGAAGTCTGGGTGGCTGTGGGTTTCCTGACAACGTGACCCCACATCACTTTATTGTACGTGTACATGCCTTCCATTGTCAGTCCCCAGGGCCATGGTAGAGACTCAAGTCTTGGTCCTCGTTGGACTCTGCGAGTGACACTGAGCTCTCCATTGTGTGCACACATCTGCAGTACCCATTTCAACTTACTTACGTAAATTGAAAGCGGTACACGTTTTATTTCAATGTATAAATGTAGATAAAGATAACTAGAAACAACATGCTGCACTTCCTGACCCAGACAGGAGTAGCTGAGGAGGCTGTGAGCAGCACATCATATAACTGCAGGCACCAGAGGACACAGGGCCCTAGTCTGTGAGAAGACTCTGCCACACATCTGATCCATCTCGCAGTGCTACACTGAGTGGCGTGTCTCCTGCAGGCCCAAGAGGTCCCAGCACCCACACAACCGTGCTGAACTTCAGGATGCACTGGGTGTTCCTAGGCAGGCTGTATCTGGCTTCCTGTCTAAAGAAGCACACTTGCTTCTGTGCCAATCAACTTGGAAACAGGAACATAAGAATTGGCTCCTTCCATGGTATCATGTCGTAAGGATGATGGGTTTCAATCGTCGCCGTCCACAGTGCATAGGCATGTTGCTGTGCCGCAAGTGTCTGATGTTGGGTGTTCTGTGCAAAGGGCTTGTTGCACATGGTTGGTCTGTGGATGTTGTTAGAGTCAAGAGTAGTATTCCAGGTCAGGCAGTTGACTTTTTATCTGAGAAGTGCTATGATTGAATTCTGGGCTACCACATTTTTGGCTGGCTTCTACCTGTTTTTTGTATTTCTTGGAGAAGAAAGCAGTCTCCGTAGAAAGTTGTCACTATTTAGAGGACAGAAGCAACCAAGACAATTCTTTATATTAGAATAAAACTCTGTGCCTCATAACGCAAGTGCCCAGTCTATGTCATAATTGTCAAGTTTCCTTCCAGAGCCTGGACCTGGCTAGGCAAATGTGGAGCTGGTGGGTGGGGAGCTGAGGCAGCAGGGACCCAGGACTGAAGGCTGCTGGATGGGGTGCACTTCAGGGGTGATCAGCATCAAAGCTTGGGGCCCAGCTAACCTGTGAACAAATGGGAACCAGAGAAGGCTTTAACTTCTTTGCTGTCACTCAGCCCAGCTGGTGAGCTGTTAAATTCCACAGTCATTCCCCTGTGATTCTTCACAGAAGTTCCTTCTCATGGTAAAGCTTGTGCTCTTTTAGACTACAGGGTGGGGAGGAAGAGTAATCGAGAAGCCTTTTTTTTTTTTTTAAACAATCAGACCTCACACTTTGGGGTCATCAAGCAGGGCGTGTTAAGGTCACGCTTCCATATGCCAGAGGAAAACCAAAAACGTAAAGATGCATAGAAAAGTACCATTTTAAAGGTGTGCATGGATAAACCATGACCTTTTCACTGGAGGTTAGTTCTGCTCTCAACATCCTTGGCTTTCAGAAAGGCAGGAAGTGGCCAACCACAGTGGAAAACCACACGTGGCTCCTCAGAGAGCCTCCCAGCCATCTGCATATGAATTTCCATTTCCAAAGTCATCAGCAGAAATAAATGTCTAGATAATATGCAGATGGTTGGAACTGGTGTTAAGAGGAACATTTTTGACAGTTTTCTTCCACTGAAAGCACTACCTCCTAATTAATTGCTTCCACTTTAATGGAATAATTATAGAAGAAAATCTTAATGACAGGTGGCCACAACTGAAAAAAGGGTAAAGTTCTGCTCTCCAAATACAACGCAGCATACTATTCATGCATATTCAGAAATGTGCAGCTTTTTTGTTTGAGTATTTAGAGAGATGTCATTCTCATTTTGGGTTTTGTGTGTTTGGTTCAGGAAGCAGACAGTATGAGTATGACCACTGGAGAAGGTACTAGGCCTCATCCAGGTAAGCATCTCCCTCTCCTGCATCTTTGGAAGAGTTGGTTCATAGCTGAGTTTCTACACTGAGTTCTAAGAGTTCACAGGGTTAATTAACTTGGTGCGTTCTCCTTTCTGGGATCAGCCAACTCAGTGCAAGACATCTTTGCTTCCTCTGGAAAGAATGCAGAGAGATCAAGGCCAGCGTGAGGATCTCCTCTCCCGCAGAGCAGCTGGAAAGAGGGAAGCATGCTCTTTTCACTATTAAAAACGTTTGCTGAGTTACTTCCACAGGCTGTGCTTGATTCCATGCTCCAAAGTGATGGTTACTATAGGATCAGTCTTTGCTTCCAGTATATAAGACATCGTGAATGTTTTTCTTGAAAGAATAAATTAGAATTTAATTGTACCTTGCCTTTAAAAAAAATACCGGATTATGAGGACATTTTCCCAAATTATTAGTCTTTGAAAACATGGTGTCTAATTAAAGTTCATTTTTATTTATTTATTTTTGTCAGTCATGGGGCCTGAACTCTGGGCCTGGGCGCTGTCCCTCAGCTCAAGGCTCAAGGCTCTCCAGCCTTGAGCCATAGCTCCACTTCCAGCTTTTTCTGCTTATGTGGTGCTGAGGAATCGAACCCAGGGCCTCATGCATGCAAAGCAAGCACTCTACCACTGAGCCACCTTCCCAACCCCATTTTAAAAAATCTGTCTTAGCTGGGCACCGGTGGCTCACGCCTGTCATCCTAGCTACTCAGGAGGCTGAGATCTGAGGCTCACGGTTCAAAGCCAGCCCTAACAGTAACATCCATGAGACTCTTATCTCCAATAAACCACCAGAAAACTGGAAGTGGCGCTGTGGTTCAAGTGGTAGAGCACTGGCCTTGAGCTGAAGAGCTCAGGGACAGCGCCCAGGCCCAGAGTTCAAGCCCCATGACCGACCAAAAAAAATTTTTTTGCTTTAGTTATTTTTTCAGATAAGGTCTTAATTTTTTTGCCCAGGGCTTTGGATCTCCATCTTCCTACCTATGCCTCCTACACAAGTGACTGGAATCACGAGTGGCTGCCACCTTGCCTGGTCTACTGGTTGAAGTGAAATCTCACTAACTGTTTCTCTGCATCTCAAGTAACCAGAATTACAGATAGGAGGCTAAAAGTTCTATTTTCTCCTTATTTGTGTAACAAATAAATTTCTCCTTACACTGAGAGTTGACTTTCTTTCGCAGTGTCTACATACTGACTTGCCAATAAAATACTTGTATTCATTTAGCTCCAGTCCACACAGGGTCTCTCTGGGCTGCCTCTGCTGCCTGTGAATGTCCTTGGCAGACCTTCCATGTTGCTTGCATTGCGACTTACTCCAGTCTCCACTGTAGCTTCATCTCCAATCACTGCTCAGGGGGCTGCTCACAAGGACTTTGTTTTTTGTTGTTGTTGTTCCTTTTTGTTTTTTTTGGGGGGGGGCGAGTCTGGTCATGGGGCGCTGTCCCTCAGCTCTTCAGCTCAAGGCTAGTGCTCTACCACTTGAGCCACAGCGCCACTTCCGGCTTTTTAAATTTTTGCTTATGTGGTGCTGAGGAATGGAACCCAGGGCCTCATGCATGCAAGGCAAGCGCTCTACCACTGAGCCACCTTCCCAGCCCTCTCTCAAGGACTTTGATTCTGCCCAGAACCAGAGGAGGCCAAGGCCTCCCAGGACTTCATTTTAAATGACTTCATAACTCCTATATTATGCATGCCTGAAAAAAAAGTATCCCTTGGACAAGATCACTTTCTGCTGTTTACTCAAAGCAGTTCTACCTGGAACATGGCTGCAGATATCTGAACTTTTGGAAGCATCTCTAGGCGTGCCTGTGTAAGCAGGGTGCCCCATGAGCTTGCTCCTCAAAGAAACACGGTGGAACCTGTGACCTGTGGAGTCGTGGTATTCCCTAGCATACCTTCAAGATACTGTTTTTATATTGTCTTCAAAGGTACTTTTAAAGGTACTAGCCTCCTTAACAACCATATCCTCCTCAGCTATAACTTTATGTACATTCCTTTTCTGCAGGTTTTTCAAATCTTTCTACTCCCCTTTTTTTTTTCTCATTCTCACAGTGAATTTGGCTATAAGCAGTCAGTAAAACCCTTGCCATCATCTTCTACAATCTTTATGATGCTCCACCTTGAAATTTCCTGTGTCATATAACCCAGTCTGTCCTTACATTCTACCTCCCACAAAGGCTCAACACACACAGAAAATGTAAACAGTTATTTGCGAGAACATGAATGGCCGCTAGTCCAGTTCCCAGTGCCCCACCTCCATCTGAAATGACTTCTCTCCACATTTCTCTTGGTGTCCTGCTGGCATCCTGGTCTTCTGAGCTCCCATGACAGTTACCTATCAAGCTCCACTCAAAGCATCCCAGATCATCTGTGGCCTCCAGACTTTTCCCGTCTTCTGCAAACCAATGTCAAAGGCTTTTGAACTGTTTCATCAGGTCTGAGCACAACATCTCCACTGCTGGTACCAGTTTTCTGTTTGTCAGTTTCCCATCACTGATGGAAATCATTCCGAAAACCAGCTGAAAAGGAGGAAAGGACTAGAAATTTGGCTCAGTGGTAGACTGAGCGCTTTCCTAGAAGGCATAAGATCCTAGGTTCAATTCCCAAAACAAAGTGAGAGTGGAGAGACAGAAGACAGTATTTATGTTAGATCATGGTGTCACTTGGCCCCACAAGTTTGTGTCTTTGGCGAGAACAAATGGTGGCAGAGCATGGACTGGGCAAAAGCTGTGCGTCCCATCCATCCTAGGGAGCGAAGAGCGAGGAGGCGCGACTGGGATCTCAATATCTCCAAGGGCATACCCTCATGACCTGCGTTTCTCTAGGTACTGCCTCCGAAAGGCTTACACTTCCTGGTGGCACTTTAGGCTGCAACCAGGCCTTTGGTGCATAGCCTTTGAGGAACACTCCAGAAAGAAACCTTATCAGGAATGATGAAAAGTTCTGTCAGAAGTTTAGTCTGTAAAACACTCAGGAGTCCTTGGAGAGCCCCGAGTGCCATGTGTAAAGGTAGTCTGCTGAGCACAGTCCTGGATATCTTGGATGCCTCTTAGAGTTGTAGAGCTGAGACCCAGGCACCTGTGGTCTTTTATCCAAGTCTGACCACATAGGAAGAGTTTCCACACGTGAGCACACATGGATCCAACATGCACAGGAAGGAGACAGACATCCAGAGCTTGCCTGCACCCTTTTGTCCCGGATATAGCCATGAGGAATCAGCGGCCAGCACCAGACCTATGAGGTTTGTTCACCTGGTGGTTGTCTTTGTACCCACCCCACAAAGCAGCCAAATCAAGTTTGTCCTTCTGGTCCCTCAAGGGTGCCCTTTGTATTGTGTCCTGGCCAATAAGTAATGGAGATCTGTTGAGTGGGTCCTCTGCTTGGTTCTCCCTATCACTTCAGGCTTGTGGGTAGAGGGCCGATGCATTTGTCATAAGTCAGGAGGATTTGGAACGCATCTCCATGGCCTTTGGGACAGAGATCTGCTCAAGACTGAAACATATTCAGCCCATGCAGAAACCTTCTGCTGTAGGTACTCCTGCATTAGGATAGGATGCAGGAAGGTTTCCTGGGTCTCCTGAGGTCAGATGGTTCTGGTGTCAGGTTCCAGGGAGTATTGAATTCATGAGGTCTATGAATTAAGCAGCCCAGTGCAGGGTAGAAGCAGAATGGTACCTGATAGGCCATGGCCTCAGGGGCTCACAGACACTGCAAAAATGATTCTGGGGTGCAGGTATGTGGCTCCTGGCTGTGCCATGCCCTGGGAGCTGAGCCATATACTCTACCCTACACCCACCTAGTCCTGTCTGTCCAGGCCCTCCGGTGAGCACTGAAAGGCCTGGGCTTCAGGAGCTGGCTGGCTGGTGGCTGATGGTAATCCCGGGTGCTGGGCTTAGCGAGACACAGTATTGGAGAGCAATCTGGCAACCCCCCTATGACTACGACACTGAAGGAGCGCCGCGGTGGACAGCAGTAGTGGAAACTTCATTTTACTGTTTGGAGGGTTAACCAAAATGCAAAGACTACCTGTCATGCTAGCCTGTGTCCAGCCAGAGGGAGTCCTTGCCTCAGGACCTGGGCTCTGCCCGCTTGCACTTGTGAAAATGTTTGCTAGAGCCATTCTTCCCTGGTCCTACTATCACCAATGTTTGTGCAAAAAAAAAAAAAAAACCCCGAAGCCAGAGGCCTGGCAGACAGTGAGGGCGGCTGCTGCCAGGCGGAGTCCTGGAGGCTCCCGTGGCTGCTGAGGTTGCCCTCTGGTTAAGTAGGGCTGAAACTGCACTGGAGTGTTAGTAATCATGTGGCAGCCCCCAGCGGGCTGTTGAGCTGAGGCTAATCTCAGTACACTCCAACAATGTGTCCCCCAATGGGAAGGGAGAGAAGGAAATGTCAGGTTATGTCCTGGGACCACCCCCCGCCCACCCTCCATCTGCGCCTGTGTCAGAGCTCACAGGAACATATGCCGCCTGTTGCTCACTGACCATCTGTTCACAGTGCTGTGAAGTGTGCCTGTTGCTATGGAGACAGGGCCCTTGATTGGCGGCTGTACCGCAAACATTTGCTGCTCAGGTTCCACTTTTATCTGTGCTCTGGAATGGAGCTGGGTATGGAAGCTTGGGGGAGGGCAGCTGGGGAGGGGGCAGCTTGGAGGGAGGAGTCGGCTGGGAAGCAGGTTGAGTGGGAACGGGCCAGGGCCTCCCCTCCACCCACCGCCCCTGTCCCTTTTCAGAGACGACACAGCTGGGATTGGAGCTGATGGATTGAGGGGGTGGAGGCCGCTTCTGTCTGCCCACTAGCATGCTGGGCCCGGCCCAGAATGGGCCTTTCCAAGCGCAAAGAGGAGGCCTGAGCTCTCAGCCTTAGTTTTCAGTCCAGACCCCACCCCGTGGTTGGACATCTGTCCACCCCAGTGCTGCTGGGACTGGTGTGAGTGAAACAAGCAGGCTGTTATGAACCTCGTCCTGGGAAACATCCTTCTGTTTGGGGTGGAGGGGAGGAGGGAGGGTGCTGGACAGCTTCTGCAGGGTCTGGCCTTCCACTGGGTGCAGAAGCATGGCAGCCTGTTCCTGTCCTAGCAGACTGCCCCCTTAGCACTGCGCCAGCTCAAGCACGGACAGAGACTTCTGCCAGAATAGGGTCAGACTGAGCTCTTTTTCTGCTTTGCAGAGCTAGGAAGTAAGTGATACAAGTCTCTATCTCTTCTGCTGTATCACAGTCTGTTAGCAAAGCAGGCAAACCTTCCCTTGTTGGTGCTCACATTCAGCACTTAGCTCTGCTTCCAGGACTGGGACAAGCTAATGTACAGGGTCTGGGAGTGAACACTGGAGCAAAGTGTGCAAGACACAAGTGTGGCAGAGGTAAGGTGACCGTAGGACCACTTTGGTGTCTCACCCTTCCCATCCCCGGGGTGGACCTGTTGTAATAGCTACAGTCAGTCTAACAGCTAGGACCAGGCCCCAGACAGCCACACGGGGCTAAAACCTCTTTGGCACAGGGGCGGCATGGGTCCTAGGCTTAGTCTCTCTGCCAGTAGGTGGTCACAGACTCCAAGACCTTACTAAATTTCTCAGAAAAGTTCCCTTGTGACATTACAGTCCACCCTCAGGGACATCTGGCTTGCCGTAGCTCAGCAAGGGCTCTCGGAGGGATGGGTGCTGGCCCCTACCCTATTGCTGTCACTGTCCTGGGTCTTCAGAGGCTGGCTGCCCCGGACAGCATGCCCTGAACACCTGGGGACCCTCCCCAGCACCCTGCTCTGTCTAGCTCCTGGCCAAGACTGTCACCCTTGTTCTGTAAGGTGCCAAGCTCCTTAAAAACAGGACCTGTAACTTAAGAAACAAAGAACTTCCACTCATCTGGTCGAACCGCTACTAAATATCCCCACGTTGCTGATCACATGTATGGTGTATATGTGTATACCGTTATATGTTATAGACCGTGATAGACAATTTGCTCCGGGAAAGTTAGAATGAGCTTGTGTTTTAAATGCGCATCATTATTCCACAATACTGTGAAATTTGGGAAATTATGTAATTACTTAATCACATTTTTTTTAAAAAACCACC